TGTTGTTATTGTAATTTGATTATTTGGATAATTCTCCAAAATTTTAAAAAATTTGTCTGTTTAACATTTTATATTTAAACAAAACATCAAAACTATTATTTAATAACTTAGCAATTTTGCTCCAAAGTGCTAAAAACTAAAACAACACATATACATTTTGAGTTAATATTAGACAAATCCCCTAATAAATTTTAAAAAAAAAAAAACTAAAATAAGAAGGCATTAAAATAAGGTTTCTTAAATAAGAGCCTTTTGAAACGTTGGACTTCAATAGGTTGAGAAAGTTTATATGAACAGATACTACATGTAACACGGTGAATCGAATAGTTATGCTATGGAACCGTGTCCACTTTGCAAGGTGGACACAGTTCTATGTTTATAATTAATGAACTATATGTTCATAATTATAAAGCTAAATATTCATAATCTTTGAACTTTATATTCATAATTATTGAACTCTATATTCACAACTACAAAACTCTATGTTCATAATTACTGAACTATATGTTCATAATTATAAAGTTATATATTCATAATTTTTAAACTTCATATTCACAATTATTGAATCTCTATATTCATAATTACATAACTATATGTTCATAATTATGTTCACAACACTATGTTCATAATTTTAGAACTATATATTCATAATTTTTGAACTGTATATTCATAATTTTTGAACTGTATATTCATAATTATGAGCAATTTTAGAATCGTGTCTACCTTGCTAGGTGGACACGATTCCACAGCATAATTTGACGTGTCAATAGTACTCAAAAAATAAAATATTTGCCTTTGGACTTCTCAATACTTGTCCTCATTGATGGACAAACAATTATTATATTTGTAAGAGGAGCTCAAGAGCTCCTTTTTCAAACATTTTCAATGTGAGATCAAAATGATCCAACATCATTTATAAAGGGGAGCCCGTGGCTCCTTTTCGTCTTCTTCTTATTATTTTTTTATTTTTTTTGTATATTGTTTTGTTTGGATTATTATTATTATTATTATTATTATTATTATTATTATTATTATTATTATTATTATTATTATTATTATTATTATTATTATTATTATTATTATTATTATTATTGTAATAAATGTTTGTATATCATTTTGTTTGGATATATATTCATAATTTTTGAATTTCATATTCACAATTATTGAATCTGTATATTCATAATTACATAACTATATGTTTATAATTATGTTCACAACACTATATTTATAATTATAGAACTATATATTCATAATTATGAACAATTTTTTAACTGTGTTTACTTTGCAAGGTGGACACGGTGCCACAGCATAATTTGTCGGGTCAATAGTACTAAAAAAAAAAGTCTTTGGACTTCTCAATATTTGCCCACATTGATGGGCAGCAATTAAATGTTTGTAAAAGGAACAATGATCCTCTTATATAGAGGATTGAGCTCCTCTTTCCAAACATTTTTAATGTGGGATCAAAATGATCCCACATCATTTACAAAGGGAGCCACCTTTGTCTTCTTCTTATTTTTTAATTTTTATTTTAATTTAAATTTTAATTTGTATATAGTTTTGTTTGGATTATTATTATTATTATTATTATTATTATTATTATTATTATTATTATTATTATTATTATTATTATTTACGAATTAATAGATTTTGTTTAATTTCGATTTGAGATTTACTTACCAAATAAGCTTTATTACAAAAGTTTGAACGGGAAAATAAAATAGAATGATTATATATATATATATATATATATATATATATATATATATATATATATATATATATATATATATATATATATATAGGGATTAATTATTACCCTAATATCTAATTTATAATTCTGGTTTTAAATTTCTTTATTATTATTAACATTAATATTTGATTAGTTTTATAAATTACGTGTAATTTATATATGCACTATGCATAAATTCTAAATTTCCTAGTATAATAATATTCTTCTTCCCATATATGTATATTAAATATTATTAATTGTATATAATATCTATTTTTAATTGATAGATGATATTGCAGAAATGCCCCTAAGTTTTGGGGAGAAAATTTGGTTAGGATGATTTTACTTTTAATTATATATAGATAGATTGATTCTATTTCATTTTTTAAGCAAAATCTTCCTTAAAGATTAATAGTAAAATAAAGCTAACTTATTAATAATCGATTCTATTACATTTTTTTACGCAAAATTTTTCTTAAATATTAATAGTAAAATAAGGCTAAATTATTAATAACAAATTCTATTCTATTTTCTATGCAAAGTCTTTCCTAAAAGATTAATAGTAAATATCTTAATGATTCTTTTTCTTATATTGCTTATTGATTCTTTTTCATTGTTCAGAGTGTAGAAAAAATTCACATGGCTAACATTTCCTTCCATTCAATTCCATTTTTTCATATTATTATTAATTTCCTTCCCAATATTATTCTATATTGTTTTGGCGTACGGCTTTCTTCCATTCATTTTCATTTTTTCATATTATTATTAATTGTTTAGGCTGGAACTTGTAAAGGAGGATATTGTTTTTATTAATTAATATAGAATTAGATTACCAATTAAAATTAAAGTTTTTATTATAATTGAACAATAATATTACCAATTATTATTTGAAGATTTTGTAAAATAATAAGTAAAATTGTATTACGGATAGGAAAATATATGTACTTTAATTTTAATTTAAATTATTAATAATTAATTCTATTTTATTTTTTTTAAAAAAAATCTTCCTTAAAGATTAATAGTAAAATAAAGATAAATTATTAATAATTGATTCTATTACATTTTCTTACGCAAAATTTTTCTTAAAGATTAATATAGTAAAATAAAGCTAAATTATTAATAACTAAGTCTATTACATTTTTTTAGGCATAATTTTTTTTAAAGATTAATAGTAAAATAAGGCTAAATTATTAATAATCAATTCTATTCTATTTTTTACGCAAAATCTTCCGTAAAATATTAATAGTAAAATATCTTAATGATTATTTTCCTTATACTGCTTATTGATTCTTTTCCATTTTTCGGAGTGTAGAAAACATTCACATGGCTAATATTTCCTTCCATTATTTTCCATATTTCCATATTATTATTAATTCTTCCCAATATTATTATTAATTGTTTGGGCGTACGGCTTCCTTCCATTATTTTTCATTTTTTCATATTATTATTAATTGTTTATGCGGGAACTTGTAAAGGAGGATTTGTTTTTATTAATTAATATAGAATATAAATCAAAACTTCAGAAGTCCGATTACTTCAATAATCAACACAAAGAACTAAGAAGAATATAATAATAGTCAATTGGTGTATTAAAGACGATTTCTGCTATATCTTGTCATGTATATTACAACAGAAACTTAACGACTCCTCATTCTCCAATCACCCGTGAGTCACACATTTTATTGTGTGACACTTTAAATTCTTGACCAATGACAATGTCGCAAAAAAATGAAGAGAGAGATTAGAGGAGTCAGCACTCAACATCTCTTTAAACGGGCAGGAGTAGGCACCACTCAAAGCGAGATTCACATGAGGCTGTCTTTCATAAATGATAATGAAACTTCAATAAAAGCAAAAAATCAATATATGAAATGGACTTGGAGTAACCGTAGAAATATTCAGAATAAATCATAATCTAGGCATATGATATGAATAGCTTTTCGTTGAAAAAAGTATTAAATTTGGAAATTACAACCATGAAAAACGTATTGTATCTAATCCAATCAAACTACTTGGATGTTAAACCTACCGTTAATTTCAAAACGCTGCTAAACTGAATGATCAAGTCTGAAGACCTAGTGGAAAAAAAGAGATGCAATATAAAATGAAGACTTATAATTTTTGTAGTCATCAACTCACTGTATTTATAGGTGAAAAATATGAGAATTATAAATTTGTAAAAATTTTTAAAAAGAAAGTATATTTATTTATTTAAGGTATTACCCTAATCAATTCATTGTATTGATATTCCTAATCAATTCATTATATTAATATTTTTAATTAATCTTATTCCTAATTAATTCATAATATTGATATTACTAGATTTCTATTTTTCATTTGTTTACCAAATAAGCTTTATTAAGTATTTGACCAATAAAATATAAAATATATTTAATTAATTTGACTACAAAAATTTGGACGGGAAAATGGAATAGGAGGATTTTACTTTTATATATATATATATATATATATATATATATATATATATATATATAGAGAGAGAGAGATATATAGATATATATAGATTATTAGTAGTATAGAAGTATAGATTCCCATTAATAATTAGTCAAGCGTTATTCATTTATTCCTAGTGTACCCGACTGGCGAGTGGCGGGCCCATTTAATATAATATCTACACTTTCCTTTTTTGTCGTTTACCTCAAGACTCAATAAGTCAATTACATGAATTCTACCTCAATTATTGAGTCAAAGATGAAATTCACAAAGTCTTCTTTTTTTTTTTTCGCAAGTTTACAGTCTACTGGCCAGAAGGTAAATATGATCACGGTGGATTCGAACTATGGTTAGAACCGAACCTTGTACTACTAGAATCGAACTAGAACCAGAGCAATATAATCAGTTCCGAATTTGGTTGAAGGAATTCCAGAATTGGAATTATTTCGGTTTGAAACAAGAATGTTCCGGTTTCAGAATTGTAAAACAATGTGTGTGTAAGATTTTACTTTATAAAATCATTGATATGTACTCCTAGATTCTATTTCTATCACTTTCACTCTTATGATGTGATAACCAAGTATAAAATAACTTATTGTTTTAAAATTTTAAAATTCAAAAAGCTGTTCAAAGTAGTATTCTAGATAAGTTATTTTAGAAAGTCATTTTATACGTAATCAGCTATATTAGCTAATTTAACAAACAAATTTTTACAATCAACTAATGCTATTTACCAAATACCATGAGATGTTAATTACATCAAAGGATCCGAGTTGAAAATTAAAGCCAAGAAGGCAGGCAAGACTTCAGAACGAAGATCTATATAGATATATCATAGAGAGAGAGAGAGAGAGTGCTTTCAAAAAGAAAGAAAGAGGGAGAGAGAGAGAGAGATGGACACAATTGTAGATGGGCTGATAAACAAGGTAGCACAAACTGTGGAAAAAAACGCGTTGCTGATTCTTGGGATCAAGGATCAGGTGGATGATCTGGTGAGAGAACTGAGGTCGTTACAGGCATATCTGGGTGAAGCAGGCAAGAAAGAAAACTGGAGAGACAACGCCGTGCTGGTAGAAGTGGAGCAGAGTATTCGCAATGTTGCAAGGGATGCTGAAGACGCCATTGATAAATATATCGTTGAGCGAAGGATCCACAAGGCCAAACCCACCCTCAAGAGATGGGCGGAAAAAGCTGCTTATTATACCAAGGTTAATCTATCTGCCAGGGAGATCGAAAGCATTAAGGATAGGGCCAAGAAAATCCGTCAAGATTACGCCCACCCCCTCCAGTTACTCCAAGCCGGTTCGCTAAATAATCATCAGCCCGCAGTCCTCCAGGTATCTATTCGACTATTCGCTTCACTGGTTTCATACTCTCATTTTTGGATGGAGAAGCTATAGCCTGCTTCTCTGTCCAACTGGACGAAGAACCGTCCTACTTCTCTGTGCAGTTGGACGGAGAAGCTAGCAATTAGATGGAGATTCTCCGTTCAATTGGACGGGGAAGCCATAGCCGGAGGCATTTCATTTTTTTTTTCTTTTATTAATTTATTTGAATTTAAAATATTTTTTTTATCTTAATTAATTTTTTTTAAATTACCGATTAATTAACTTAATTGCATAAAAAATGATAAGTAAAAGTGTCTAATTGAAACTCTTTTTAGTTTAAGGGGCTAATTGCACTTGGACCTATAGTTGAAGGTTTTATTTGACCCTTATCCCTATATTAGTTTTCTTACGCGAATGAGATAATGCTCAATGGATTTTTTTAAATAAGTATTTGAAAGTATATAAATGCAATATTATATACAAAATGTTCATGCATGGGTAAATATTTAACTATTTGTCCCAATAAACAAAATTTCTGACTCCGATCATGTATAAGCAGCACTAAATTGCTTGTTATCTAATAATAGTTATTACAATATAATGTAAGTCCCCTGACCTGACTTCATTTTCTTGTGGAATTGTTTAAGGCTCCCGTGGTGGAAGAAGATGATGTGGTAGGTTTTGACGGTGAGGCTAAAACTATAAAGGAACTTCTCACTAAAGGATCAAAAGATACGACTTTCATTTCAATTGTCGGAATGGCTGGGTTGGGCAAAACCACATTGACTAAAATGGTATTCAATGATAGTGATATTCAATATGAGTTTTTTACTCGGCTTTGGGTTTACGTATCTAGAAGCATGAATAGGAGACAGATATTCATGGACATTATAAGTAGGTTTACCAAGCAAACTGATGATTTCAAGAATGTATCGGAGGAACTTTTAGCTGAGAGTATCAAAGAATATTTGAAGGGCGGGAAGTATTTCATTGTGATGGATGACGTTTGGCACAAGAAAGATTGGGACCTTTTGAAAATTGCTTTTCCTAATAACCATAATGGGAGTAGAGTATTGGTAACAACACGCAATAATGTGGTGGCTACATATGCAGATACTTATGCCAAGCCACATAACTTAAAATTTTTGGAGGATGAGGAATGTTTGGAATTATTAAAAAAGAAAGTTTTCCGCAAGGAAGCTTTCCCTGGGTATCTTGAAGCCCCGGGGAGAAGCATTGCAAAGAAATGCAATGGGTTACCGCTAGCAGTAGTGGTTATTGCTGGTGTCCTCAATAAAGACCAAGTCTCATCGTGGAATGAAGTGGCCGAAAATCCTATGCCAATACTCAATCGCCAAACCCAAGACTACAATGATATACTAAGATTGAGTTACAATCAGTTGCCTAGCGACACAAAAGATTGTTTCTTGTATCTTGCAGCATTCCCAATCGGGCATGAGATTTTTGTTTGGAAGCTGATTCGGTTGTGGATTGCAGAAGGATTTATCCCTCCATCCAATTCCACCATGGAGCGAACAGCTGACTCATACTTGAAGGAATTTGTGAGCAGGAATCTGTTGATGGTGGTGAAAAGAAGAGCTGATGGTGATATCAAAACATGCCGCCTTCATGACACATTGCACGAGTTTTGTAAGGATGAAGCTGTAAAGAATTATCTCTTCCATGAGATAAATGGGGCAAGAATAGAAGCAAATGATAATTATCGTCGCTTGTGCATCCGCTCCTCCCTTAATGATTTTATAGTTTCTGAGGACAAGCCATCAGGTGAGCATATCCGCTCTCTTCTAGCATCTGACAAACTAGATGTTAAAAGAGAGCACTTGGCAACTATCCCAAAGGCCTACCCCTTTCTCAAAGTCTTTGATGTGGAAAATGTCAAATTCGAAATTTTGCCAAAAGAGTTCTATCAGCTATACCATCTGCGCTACTTGGCTGTCTCAACCGACCTCAAAATCCTTCCAAAGCCATTCACAGAACAATGGAACATGGAGACTCTTGTGTTCAATACCTCCCAAAGTATTATTGATGTTAAGGCTGAGATATGGAAATTGGCAAAACTAAGGCATATCATAGCCAATGCTCAGCTGCAATTTCCTACTCCCCAAAATTGCAAAGAGAAGTGTGGAGACTTGCAAACTCTTTCCCCCATATCACCTAAGAGCTGCACAGAAGCCATCCTAGAGAAGATGCCCAACCTTTTGAAATTGGGAGTTCGTGGGAATTTAGTAGAGCTTCTTGACAGCAAAGGAGGAGTTTGCTTATTCGACAATGTTGGAAAGTTGCTTAACCTGCAAAATCTGAAACTTGTGCATGAATCTTCCAATGACCAGAGTAGCACAATAAGGAGCTTTCCTCGGGATGAAAAATTTCCATCAAAACTTAGGAAGCTCAGTCTATCCAACACCTCCATAGATTGGAAACACATTTGTGTATTGGGATCCCTCAACGAGCTGGAGGTCCTCAAGCTGAAAGAATCAGCAGTGAAGGGGGAGTATTGGGAACTAAATAACACTGTTTTTAAGAGTCTCCGATTCTTAAGCATTGGGAGAACGGACTTGGTGAAATGGACTTGTGAGAAGAGTAGTTTTCCTGCACTCAACAAGCTTTACCTCTCACATTGCACATCCCTTGAGGCAGTCCCACTCGCCTTCAAGGATGTTAAAAGCCTTAAAGTTATGGAGTTGTTCTGTACCAACAAAAAAGCTGCTGCTTCTGCAAGAACAATCCGAGAACAAAAGCAAGGAGATGGGTTTGATCTCTCCATTTATCCTCCTGCAGATAACTGAATTCAACAACTTTAATGATGCATTTGCGTATTTCTTCCAATGAAAAGGTCTGTCCTCATTTATTTATTTAGTTTTTGTTATTTTACGTTCTCTAAAGTTATTATTGTTAATATTCTTTTAAATTCGTGCAGAGGTAACAAATAACATTTTCAGATGTATGTTTGCTTCGATCCAAGGCTTCTTGTCATGGTTGTTGTGGCGCTTTCTTTGTTCGTGTTTTCCTTTAATTTCTTACTAAAATAAAGTCTGGCATGTATCTATATATATATATGATCATACGATTTCATATGTAGATCTGGGATTCAGTTGGCTGGTGTGCTTAGTTCTGAGTTTTTGTGTGAAATGTTTTTCATCATTAAACATTTGTATAACTATTTGAACTATTCTACTCGGTTTTTAATTTGCTCTTCTCTGATTTTCATTTGGTTTTGTATTGTGGTAGAACTAAATGTATTGATGTTGGTTTATCTAACACTCTGCTTGCATTGATGGGAAATAGGATACACAATATATAGACATACAATTTATAGTATATACAATTTTAGAGTACTCTCACTAAGAAAATACATAAGTTAAGTGTGCAACAAAATGTCTAACTTTCTCCTTATAATTTACCATTCCGGAGCTAACACAATTAAAAAGATATCAATAACAAGGTATTTCAATCTCTAATGTTCCTTCCGCTCAGGCTAGATTTCTTGTAATTAAGTTATTATTCAATTCATGTTAGATTATATTTATATCGTTGGTATCAGAATTTTACTTGTTGATTTTCATTATAGCTTTTTCGGCATTAATGATTTTTCGAACTTTAAATTTTATTAAGTTTTAAAATCAAATCTGAAAATGTTTTAAAGGCTTTCGATTTTGACAATTATTTTTCTATATTTAGTCTCCTAATTGTATTATTTTATTTTTATGGCTTTGTATTGCAAATTATTAGTTTGTGTGCAATGTGTTGCTATTAATAGTATTATTAAGAGTTAATTTCACAAGAGGTCTCTTGTTTTTTTGTATCAATTTCAAATTTAGTCTCAGACTATTATTTTTTCATTTAACATCCTAGATTATTATTTTTTGGATACTTTTAGTCCTTTTCATGACTTTTTCTATTTTTAGTAAGGGTATTTTTGTCTCTTTATATTTTTCTTTTGTTATTTTTCTGATTTCAACCAGTTTAATTGGTTTATGACTTTACTAAAAAACCGGTTAAAAAGTATGGTTACTAATACTAAAAATAAGAGGTTATATAAAGTTCTAAACCAATTAAATCGGTTGAAATTGAAACCGGAAAAATAACAAAAGAAAAATATGAAATGACAAAAATGCCCTTACTAAAAATAGGAAAAATCATGAGAAGGACAAAAGGTGTCAAAAAAATAGTAGTCTAAGATGTTAAATGAAAAAAACGATAGTCTGTGACTAAATTTGAAATTATAGTTAATTTCAGCAACGGTCCTCTGACTATAATAATTTTCCAAATTTGGTTATCGTCTTTTAATTTGGACGAATTAAACCCTTGACTATCAAAATCGTTTCACCATTAGTCTTTCTATGAACCTACCGTTAGTTAGATGTTAAGAGTAGGGGTAAAAGTCTCTATTCATATGCTGGGTCTCTTCTTCCCATTCGTACCAATGGCTGCCCAATGTTTGTTCAACAAGCAAAAGTAATAGTAATCCCCGTCTCCTGCTCCTGTTCCATCCAATCCATTGTGGATGTTCCCTCATGTACTTCACCAATTTTATAGTTCCTACCAGTATAGTAGAGGATTCGTGTAGTCGTAGTCGTCTTGCCTGCATCAATATTAGCCATAATTCCAATGTTGCGGTAGTCCTTCAATGGCACTGTTCTCTTTCCATCTTCTCATGAAATACAGTTTTAAGTATGGACTTGCGGAAATTATTCCCACCATTACACTACAACTATCTGCAAACATGTAATAGTCCCAAGATAGAACATTCAATAATTCTACATTATTATTATTACAATGCTATTTTCACCAAGAAAAACTTTTGCAGCATCATATCTTTAACAAGAAGCAAAGAGCTATGATTCCCTATCAAATAAAGCTAATCTTCAGTTACTAATCAAGACAAAAAAAAAAAAAAAAGACTTATCTTTAATTCAATTCTCAAACCTGATAAACATAAAAATTTGCAAGATAAAATAGAATAAATGAAGCCAATGACGTCCTAATTACTAACTCTGCGGCCATCTCCCTTGTCGAATCAGTGAAAGCTAATGAGAAGAAGGTAGCAGAGATGAGTTGGTTTCACCTGAGTTAATATCCACAATAATATTAACCTGAGATGAAAATTTCAAAGGTTCAGTATTAATACTGCCCATACAATTAACTAGATATATTTAGCATTCTAAAAGAAGGTAGCAAAGATGAGTTGGTTTCACAGGCAAGAATGGGCCGCCATTGGAACGAATGGGAAGAAGAGACCCAACATATGAATAGATACTTTTAGCCCTGTTCTTAACATCTAACTAACGGTAGGTTCACGGAAGGACTAATGGTGGAACGATTTTGATAGTCAATTCAAGGGTTTAATTCATCCAAATTAAAAGATGATGCCAAATTTGGAAAATCACTATAGTCACAGGACCATTGTTGGAATTAACTCTTTGAAATTGTCACCAAAGACAAAGGACCTCTAATGGAATTAACTCTATTATTAATTATTAATTGTAATTTGGAGAATAATTTTGAAAAAACATGTTTCTAGCCAAGTTGACTATTGACATTATTGTATTCTTAATTTATTTGATCTTTAAAATTAATGATTTTTAAATGTTCAAGCCCATTTGATTAAGTATGAATTATTGAATATTGGTTATATTTTCATACTATTTTGATGATTTTAATCATATAATTACATTACGGAGTTAATTGCACTAAAGATCCCTTGTCTTTAGTGACAATTTCAAATTTAGTCTCAGATTATCGTTTTTGTCATTTAACATCTCAGACTATTATTTTTGGGACACTTTTAGTCCTTCTCATGACTTTTCCTATATTTAGTAAGGGCATTTTTGTCTTTTCATATTCTTCTTTTGTTATTTTTCTGATTTTAACCGGTTTAATTGGTTTAGGACTTTAGGTAACCTATGATTTTTAGTAATGATATTTTTCAACCGATTTTTAATAAAGTCCTAAACAAATATACCGGTTGAAACTAGAAAAATAACAAAAGAAAAATATGAAGAGACAAAAATGTCCTTACTAAAAATAGGAAAAGTCATGAGAAGGACTAAAAGTGTCTCAGAAAAAAAAATAGCCTGGGATGTTAAATGACAAAAATGATAGTGTGGGACTAAATTTGGAATTGACACCAAAGACAAGGGACCGTACCTCTAGTGGAATTAACTCTTACATTAAGTGCATTTTATTAAGATTAATTAGGCAATTATGATTTGTAAGATTTTAATTTACAAATGGTAATGTATATTATGGGCTTAATATCGTTAAGAATTTATAAATTCAACATATTTCTTATAATTTTGATTTTATGCCTTAAAACGTTTTGATATGGGCTTGCAACTTGAAAATTTTCAAAGTATCTATCTATTATAGAAATTGTAATTTATGCCCCTCCATAATATGCTAATTATCAATGTCACCCCTGAATTATTAGTGATGTAAATATTGTTCCTAAATTTTCAAAACAGTACATATATTGCCAACATTGACTCTTCCACAATTGTTGATCTGCTTATTAGTATGTTGCAATATTTAAGCATTACTCATCCAGATGTTTCGTTTGCTCATGTTTGTCACAATTTATGCATGCACCATCTGCGGCTCATTGGTCTGCTGCGAAATGTGTTCTACGATACCTTAAGGGGACATTGTTCCATGGGAAGCTTCTCATAGGTATTACTTCCTTTTGGCTTACTGTTTTTTTTTTTTTTTTTTTTTTTTTTTTTTTTTTTTTTTCATTCTGATTGAGGTGGCTCAAGTACTTTGGGCCGTTCTACCACTACATATGTTTTGTACCTTGGTAGTAACATTACTTCTTGGAAGTCAACACGTCAAAAGTCAGTTTCTCGTTCTTCCACTGAGGTAGAGTACCATGCCCTTGCGAATGTTACTGCTGGGGTTCTATAGGTTCAGCATCTTTTGCGGGAGCTACGAGTGCCTCTATACGGCTCTCCTATTTTGTTATGTTATAATCTTAGTGCTACATATGTCTACAAAAATCTTTAGTTCCATTCTAGAATGAAACATCTTGCCCCTTGACTATTTCTTTGTTCGTGTGTTGGTGACTTCTGGTGCTTCGGTTGTTCATCATATTTCCTCTAAAGAGCAGCTCGCTGATATCCTCATGAAGCCGTTGGGTTGTGCGCCTTTTCAACTTTTTCGGTCCAAGATTGGAGCTAGAGTCTTCGACGGATCCTCTATATTACGGGGACATGTTAAACACATAGCTTAAACTAGTTTTTAGATGGTTTTGTTATTTACTTTTCTTTAGCCTTTGATTATGCTTATGTTGTAATTTCTTCTGTAAAGTACTATATATACATTCAGTGTAAGTCATAAATAATCAATTCATTATACTCTTCACAAGTCGTACTCCAATTGTAGCAAAAATAATACTGAAAGCTAAATGTGAAAGTATATAATAACGGTAAGAGTAAGGGGTGTTTGGTTCAAGTAATATAAAATTACCAAGGTAATGTAAGTATGGCAATGTGATATTACCTTGACCTTGTTTAGTTCATGTCATTATATTACCTGAAAATGTTATATTACTCCAAAATTGATGTGGATGCAATATTTCAAGATAATATAACCTTCGTTTTCTTAGCTAGGTAATTTAATATTACATTTTATATTCTAAATTTGCCCTTATTAACTAACACTTCTATATTAATTAATTAATAATAATAATAACAACAATAAATATGACTTTATAGAGTTAATACCTAATATAGTCCTCGACTATAGTAGCTTTACTCAATTTAGTCCTAAATGACTTCTTGTGCTCAATTTAGTCTTAAATGACTTCTTGTGCTCAATTTAGTCATCGACTTTGATAATTTTACACAATTTAGTTCTTTGTTAAAATTTTTGTTAGTTGACCATTAGAAATGGGATCTTAGTGGTAATTTCTCATCCTTCATCCAATTTGGGATGATTCTTTCTTCTTCCGCTCATTAAGATCCTCGCAGAAATGCAAACCTTCGTACCCAAATCAACTTCAACCCCTTAAGGAATGAAGGTTAGTCAAATATTTATTTATGCATGGTTGAAGTTAATAAGGGGAAGAAGAATGAATCATCTAAATGGGATGAAGGATGAGAAATTACCATTAGGACCCAATTTGTAATAGTCAACTAACAATTATTTTTAAAAAAAGAACTAAATTCTGTACAACTTTAGCGGTTAAAGTACTTACGAGGTCCCTGTACTATAGTGTTTTGTTCAATTTAGTCCTTATACTTTTATTTTGTTCAATTTAATCCCTGTACTTTCAAAAGTGGTGCAATTAAGGACAATAGTTAACGATGTTAATATTATCGTTAACTTAGGTTACGTGGCGCTGATGATATTTATATTCCTACTCATATATTACTTTGTAAATATTTAAAATTTATTATTTTTACCACCAATATATTAAATTAGTACGTCCAAAATAAATAATTACGACCATGTTCGTAATGAGATTTAGACAATTGTCCTTAATTTTACCACTTTTTAAAGTAGAGGGACTAAATTGATCAGAATCAAGGTACAAGGACTAAATTGAACAAAACACTATAGTACAGGGACTCCATAGGTACTTTGACCAACTTTAGCTAATGTTGGAAGCTTATAGTCAATGAATTTCTGTAATAAATGCAATGCTTGATTTAATTAAGAGAAAATTGTAATTTATGTCCCTCACAAATATGTCAATTATCAATGTTACTCCTGAATTATTAGTGGTGTAAATGTTACCCCTCAATTTTCAAAACGTGACATATATTGCCCCTCCCCTGAATTATTAGTGGTGTAAATGTGGTTACACGTCGTCTTTCTTGTTCGAAGACCACATTTTTTTCCTCAATTTTTCTTTCTTCGATTGTTCTCCTTCCGTCGACAACAATTTTACTCCTTCTTCATATTAGGGGATGGGCAATATATGTCACGTTTGAAAATTGAGGGGCAACATTTACACCACTGATAATTCAAGGGTGACATTGATAATTGACATATTTGTTAGGGACATAAATTACAATCTTCCCTTTAATTAATTACTTTGATTGTGATTTACATCGCTCGATCGGCATCTTGATTTGTTTAGAGGAGTATAGTTACAGGTGTTAGGAATTGAGTGATAATTCTTGATTATATTGTGCACTGGTTGGAGTTAATTAAAAGACTCATCAATTGGTATGAGTTTGGGTTGTATATGTTGAGTATGAGTTTGAAAAAGGATTGCTCTGTACATTTGTAATTGCTTAATTGATGACCGCATAATCTCTGAAAGTTTTTAGTTTTAAAGGAGCGAGTTTTAGTTTAGATTTCTCAGTCTGATAATCCTTAATTTTCTTGATTGGTTTATTTGTTTTAATTTGACAAGTAATAATAGTATGGATCGGAATAGCAAAAGTTGAAAATCTTGGTGTAGTGTGGTATGTTTCTACTTCTGGAATCGCTTAGCTTAAAGGAAAAATATCCCTTATTATTAGTTGTAAAGCTTGGGGAGTTCAAACATTCAAGTGAACACATTGTAACAACAATTTTAAACTGTGATAGTGGCTAGCTACAAGCCCAAAAGAAAACCAAATACAGGCAAATTAAAACTGGAATAGTTTAGATACATACTTGACCGATTTGTAATCAGGTGCTAATCAATCTTAACGTGCCAATCTGTAAATTATTGAAGAATTACACTGCAATTATTACATGATTACACGATCACAGACATGCCTAGAGAGACCGGCCTTGCGGTGCAATCATATAATAGTTGCCGTGCAGTTCTTTAGTAGTTCCCAGGTTAAGACCAGTTTGCACCGGATTATGGACTACTGGACCAAATGTTTAGGAGAAAGATGAAAACCATTCATTCACACAGGAATTCAGATTCAAGCACTCCACACACGAAACCTTACGTACAATGGCACAGATGCATCATGCATGCATACATGCATGCCAGCCTTTATTTTAATAAGAGAAGAAAAGAAGAACAAATTAAAGAAAGTGCCACAAAGATATATATATATAGTGATAAGATGCGCTCATTAGATCGATCGGAGGAGCCATCAATACATCTGAAAATGTTATTCGATACTCCTGCACCAATATAAGACAATAATAATCACAACAACAACAAAAATAATAATAGCTTTAATTTAGAGAACATTAAAAGTAACAAAATAATTGACTGACCTCTTTGTTAATGCATCATCGATCGATCTATCAGTGTTGAGCTGAGTGATCAGGAGGATAGACGGAGAGCTCAAGTAGCCCATGCTCTTCAGGCTTTAAGTTTTGTATCTTTCTTGCAGAAGTTGCAGCGTTTCTGTTGGTACAATACAACTCCATAAACTTAAGAGCTTTCACATCCTTGAAGGCAAGTGGGAGTGCATTAAGGTTTGTACAGTGTAAGAGGTAAAGCTTTTTCAGTGCTGGAAAGCTAGTCTCCTTAGCAGTCCAGTATGCCAAGTCGGTTCTCCCAATGCGCAAGAACTGGAGACTATTGAAAACAGTGTTGTTTAGTTCCCAAGAGTCCCCCTTCACCGCGAATTCCTCCAACTTTAGGACCTCCAGCCCGTCCAGGGATCCCAATATGCAAATGTCCTTCCACTCAAAGGATGTGTTGGCTAAAGTTAGCTTCCTTAAGTTGGCCGGGAATTTTTCGGCCCGCGGAAAGCTCCTTAATTTGCTACCCTGAGCATTGGCAGTTTCATGAACAAGCTTCAGATTTTGCAGCTTATGCAGCTGGTTTCCAATATTGTCAAACAAGCAAATTCCTCTCCTCATCTCCAGAAGCTCTACTAAATCCCCACGAACACCCATTTTCAAAAGGTTGGGCATCTTGTCAAAGATAGCTTCTGTGCAGCTCTTAGGTGATATAGAGGAAAGAGTTTGTAAATCCTCACACTTGTCTCTGCAATTTTTGGGAGTAGGAAATTTCAAAGAAGCATTGGCTAAAAGATGCCTTAGTTTTGTCAACCTCCATATCTCAGCCTTAACTTCAACACTAGTTTGGGAGGTATTGAATACAAGAGTTTGGGTGTTCCATAGGTTGGTGAATGATTTTGGAAAGAGTTTGAGGTCAGTTGTGACAGCCAAGTAGCGTAGGTGATATAGCTCATAAAACTCTTTTGGCAATATTTCAAATTTGAGCTCTTCCGCATCAAACACTCTTAGAAGCGGGTAGGATTTTGGGATAGTTGCCAAGTGCTCTTCTGGAATTTCATATTTGGTAGATGTTAAAAGAGAGCGGATATGCTCACCAGATGGCTTGCTCTCTGAATCTATGAAGCTTCTAAGGTTGGAGCGGATACACAATCGACGATAATTCTCATTTCCTTCTATTCTTGTCCCATCAATCTCATGGAACAGATTATTCTTCATAGCTTCGGATTTGCAAAATTCGTGCAATGTGTCAGGAAGACGGCAAGATTTTATTTCACCGTCGGCGGTTTTTTTCACTACCATCAACAGATTCCTATTCACAAAATCCTTCAAATATATTTTAGCAGTGCCCTCCATGTTGTGGGAGGACGAAGGAATAAATCCTTCTGCAATCCACAAGCAAATCAATTTCCGAACGGGAATTTCATGTCCCATTGGAAATGCTGCAAGATATAGGAAGCAATCTTTTGTGTGGTTAGGCAACTGATTATAACTCAGTGATACCAGTTCATTGTAGCTTTGGTTTTCCTGATTGATTAATTGAAAAGGATCTTCAGCCACCTCTTCCCACTTCGCAGCTGTGCTGTTTTTATCAAGGACACCAGCAATCACCACTACTGCTAGTGGTATCCCATTGCATTTCTTTGCAATGCTTCTCCCAGTGGATACAAGATGATTAGGACAAGCTTCCTTGCGGAAAACTTTCTTTTCTAATAACTCCCAACTTTCCTCAAGCTCTAAATATTTTAATTCGTGTGGAGCATTTTTAGAATCAACATGATTAGCCACTTCAAAAGTACGCGTGGTTACCAATATTCTACTGCCTTTTTGGTTGTTGGGAAAAGCAATTTTCAAATGATTCCAATCCCTTGTGGAACATACATCATCCATCACAATGAAATACTTGATGTCGTTCAAAAACTCCTTGATATTCGAGGCTAATTGATCATCGCTCATATGCTTGCAACCACGGGTTTCCTTGTTTAATTTACTAATAATGTCCATGAATATTTGTCTCCTATTCATGTTGCTAGATACGTGAATCCAAAGATGAGTGAAACTTTCATAATGAAGTTTGTGATCTTTGAATACCATATTGGCCAATGTGGTTTTGCCCAATCCAGGCATTCCAACAATTGAAATGACCATTGTATCATTTAACTTTTCAGTAAGACGATCATTTATAATTTTAGCCTCTGTATCAAACCCTATCACTTCATCCTCTTCCACCACAGGAGCCTTTTAACAATTTCAGGAAAAATGAGGTCAGGGAACTAACATGGCAATAAGTGTTGCACTTCAATCAAATTAACGCACAGGCAATTTAGTACGGAGTATATTATACCCTAGCTATATTTTCACAATCCAATTATTATTATTAAATAATTATCATGAATCATATATAAACGGTGTGGCTACGTACTAGCAGGGATATCAATCAAGCAGCCTACTAGGTATCAAGCTAGCTAGTCCTGTTGGGTTGTCAAGTTTATCAGTCCAGACTTATCATTTTTTTTTTGGTCGGGTTTTAAATCCTTAAAATTAGAGTTTAAAACACAAATAATCAAAAAGTAAAATAATGGTATTTCTATATTTATTTAAAAAAAGTATAAAAATACGTTGTTGTCAAATAAAATAATTAAAAGCCCAATTGTAGCAATTCAACTATTAAGCGCATAGAAATTAGGTATATAAAAGAAATAAATTTATCATTTCATAAAACAAATAAATATAATTAAAAGTTAATTAAGTGACTAAGCACTAAGCACTTCAAATCCAAACAATTAAGTAATTAAATATTTAATCCTACCAAATAAATCTAATTAAGTAATTAATTAAACATTTAATAGATGTTCATTGGAGTTGGAGAATAAGATATGGTAGGTTTTTGTTTGTTTGTTTGTTTGTTTTTTTTTTTTTTTGGAGGGGGGAGTAGCGAACCAACCCGGCCAATAGCCCGATTTCTTATTAGGCAATTCTTTTTTAAGGGAAAAACACAATTTTGGGGGGTCGTTTACTTCATTTCTCTGTTTTTCCATTTTCAGTTTTCCATTCTTCCATTTCTCCATTCTTCCAGTTTTCCATTTTTCCATTCCTCCAATTTTTTATTTTTCTGATTTTCTATTCTATTAAAAACAATCATCCCATATAGTATTTGTATATTTCTACAACAAAGATAATAATAATAATAATAATAATATAATAATAATAATAATAATTTAATAATAATTTAATAATAATAATAGTAATAATGATAATAATAATTTAATAATAATAAGAATAGTAATAATTTAATAATAATAATAGTAATAATTTAATAATAACAACAACAAATTTGTGTATATAAGTAGGAGGAAAATGAAAAAGATAATAATAATAATAATAATAATAATAATAATAATAATAATAATAATAATAATAATAATAATAATAATAATTTATTTTACAAATTTAATTTTTTAATAAAAAAATTCCAATACACTAATACTAAATGTATAAAAGGTAACAAAAATTGATAAAAAAACATATTTCTAGATAATTATAACTATTTCAATCATTTTAGTACATAAATAATAATAATAATACTCCGTAATACTCAAAATAATAATAATAATAATAATAATAATAATAATAATAATAATAATAATAATATAATAATAATAATAATAATAATAATAATAATAATAATAATTAAAGGAAAAAACACTAAAAATAAATAATAATAAAAATAATTTTGAATGTGAAAAGCACAAAATGGGAAGTAAAAACTGTAATAATAATAATGAGTAATTAAAACAAAAATGGTAAATAATCAATTGCTAATGTGTCATTTGTAGGAATCGATCCATAGACCTTAAGGGATGGCACTGTTCACGTGCACCTTCTTCCATTCTTCCATTTGGAGAACTTTGTTTATCTATTCTCCAAATTTAGTGAAAAAGTGGAGAATGGAGATAGAATGTAAATTTGAAGGAAAGATTTTAGTAAACAAGTTTTCCATTCTCCATTTTTCCACTTCTCTAATTCTCGCTTTTTCTGGAAAATCCTCCATTCTTCCAAGTTAGTAAACGACCCCTTAGTCCCTCATTGTTCCTTGCTAGCAGTTTTATTCCTTGACATTTTATCGTTGCAATATAAACACTAACTTTTCAAAAAAGTTACATTTTAACCCTAGAGCAACAAAACTATTAAACTCTATTAAAATTTTATTTAGTACATGGGTATTTTAGTACTTTTTAATTGGTGGTGTAAATGCTCTCGGGTATATATATTAGAATAAGAGTTATGGAGTAGCTGATATATTGTGGCTCGGGTAGTTAAGACAGAGGGTAGAAGGTTCCCGAGCATGTAAGTATTCTAGAGATAGAATTGGGAAAAGTCCCTCCTATCGGCCTTTAGCGAGATATTTATAGGATATTTATTGTTGACGTTCATCTTTAAGGGCTAATCACAAAGGCTCAGGGCCCCAACCGAGCATTCGGGTCGAGACCGAGCACCAAGGGCTAAGAGCAGAAGCTCATTAAGCTAATTAGAGGCCTAATCTTTAGGTCGGGTCGGTTGAGTACGCTCTTCTGGTCGGGCTAGGTCGGGAAGAGATCCTTACTATGCGTGGGGGCAGATCCGATAAGGTGTTTAGTACAAGAAGGTCGGTACGCGGGTATATTCCCTATCAAGTAGCCCCCTAGCCCGTGCCCCAAGGTAGGGAGACGTTCTAAGGTGCTCGGGCTATAAAATATGATTGGAATTTGTGTCCAAAGGGTCTTTAACCGGGCCGATATTGTACGTGTGTAGCGCTGGTTTACGGTGTACCTTGTGGACCACCGTTCATGCCCAGTTGCTTGCCACGCATCCCACTGAGGATGATTATTTAGGGATCCGTTCAAATTTCAAATTTACCCGCCTATAAATATAACGTTACGGCAAGCCAAAACTCACACTTTGCTTCGCGTGAATTCGAGAGTCTCCCGAGCTGCTTATTCATGTCAAGCATCAGACGCATCCTGAGCGCAGTTTAAGAGATCAAAATTTTCGCTTCCTATCATTCAATAAGTTTTCATTCTAGGGTTTTCTCCTTTCTTGTTATATTCTTAGCTTTAGTTTCGGTTAGCTACCCTTCTAAGTGTATTTCCCTCTTAGAGGGATAAAGTCAAAATTGGACAGCTAGAACGTGTCGGTCAGGGAGTACGATGCAATGGTTGAGGTCGGTTCATTCTCGGATTCATCATATGACACCGCCATTGAAGAGGTCGAGCACTTCACGTAGGTTCAAGAGGCCTCCTTAAGCGCCACTGTACTGCTGACCAAGTAACCGTGAGGCCTATGCCTCCCAAGACTTCTTCGTGGGAAAGACGTCGGCCCATCAATCCGAGTATCCTCCGACCACCCTTACCCTTCCCCGAGCCATACTGCTTCCTAAGTAACTCCTGGTTCATCTCCTTAGATACGTGCTCCAACTCTTTCTAGTGGGAAACACAAATTCCTAAACAGCGAGCAGGTCGAGACCTACGAGCCTCTCTTAACCCTATCTGAGCTTCAAGACTTGTCCCGCCTCCTCGACAGTCGAGCCACCTATGACACGGCGCAGCCTCGATAATGTCATCGAGCATCACCGAGAGGATTGGATATGGTTTCACCTTAATTCGTTAAAAGCAACCATCTCTCTCACGTTCAGCCTATTTTTTGTCAGCCTTTCTCCAATATTATAGGGTCTTTCTTGATCAAATATGCCCCAAACGCACACCGTATCATTGCGTGCTTACCTCAAATTTGTGCCCAACATCGAATACCCTGCACTCTAGAGCTGTTCCAGTTCATGTTCTCGGTCTGAGCCCTTCCACCAAAGCATGGCGGGGATTCCTCATGATCCAAGCCAAAGGGTAGGCTTGTAGCATAATCCATTTACCGGACAACAACAAAGGGTGGAAGAACCAGTTCTTCTCCCTCAGGTACAAACGGAACCTCCAGGCCCCCAACATTTGGAGTTCACAATTTCGGAGGCGTAACAGCCCGACACCGACCCGCTCGCTAAATGCCCATGCCGAGGTCATTTCCGCGGAGTTCTACGACTACCGCGTCTTCAAGACTCCCGAGGACTACACCACGGCTAACCTGTAAGAGCCCTGCAACAATCTCGAGAAGAAATACATCCTAGGGTCTAACACGATCACGATGGTCGTGGATCCACGAGAGAGCGTTCCGGCTGTAGGAGGTCTAACACCTGACATTTCATTTTCTTTTCACTTATCAGGAGGACGGACACTATTCTTAAAGAAATTCGCTAACACTCCTGCTCAGTTTTGCAGATATGGGCTTGGACAAAGTGTTCGAGGCCAGCTCTCACCGAATCGCTCGCCCAAAGATTGCCTTGGGCGGGAAGAATATATGTTGTTGTTTCCGAGGCCACCACCTCAGTTCATTCAGGGTTGCCCATGACCACCGTAAACGGGTTCTTATCTTCAAGTTCCCTAGGCCTCCAGTAAACGGGGCAAAGATAAAGTCCCCAAGGTCGAGGAGGCGACCCCGACCAAGAAGCAAAAGAGAACCAGGTATCCGGACCATACTCCAATCATAAGTGCATTACTAAGCGAGGGGAATCAGCTGGTCGCACTACTGGAAATTATGGAATTTCCAACCACCTGAGAGTGATCTTAAATCAAGTTGAAAGCAAAAAGTGATCGGAAATAGCAATAAAGGTTTTTCCGGATACCAAAAGTGTTCGGAACAAGGCTTTCAACTTGATTTAAGATCACTTTCATGTGGTCGGAAATTACATAATTTCTAGCAGTGTCGCCCTCATGGACAAACTCAGCGCTTTTTTGCCAGAAGTTTGAGAGTACTTGGGACTGGTCAACTAACAAGGTCGGTGAGCGGGGGGCTCGGGAGCTCTTACAAGTTTGTTCTTAAATAGTTAAACCTAAGTTGGTACCTTCAACAATTTGCCTGAATTTTAATAACTTGCTTTTTATTCTACAGTTGAGCTGCACGTTGGCCGATCTCTTCTGTCAGACCAAGGCAGCCGAGTGGCTTTTCGAAAAGGAATCGAAAACCGAAAAGCATAGCTCGTCGGGATGTTAAAATCCGAAAGCTGAAGAGGAGGGTCAGTGAGGCTGAGCAGAAGGCAAAGACAGTCATTGACCTGGAGGAGAAGGTTAAGGTTGCCGAGCAGAAAGTCGACATAACTGTCTCTGATTACAAGCCCCCCTACTTTTATTGAGGATGCTGTGGCCCATCCTGAGCGACTGATCGGGCAGATCTTCCGCTCCCAAGCCGCTGCGAAACCGTTCTTCCCATCTCTACTCAAGACTAAGGTTGGGGAAAACATGGTTTGGGAGTATGGCAAGTGGACCTTCACCACTGGCAAGCGCAAAATGTATGCAAGATATATGCCGAGGTAAAAGAGTCCCTCATTGTGTAATTGCTCTCTGGTATATGTATTTGAATAATAGTTATGGTGTAGCTAATATATAGTAGCTCGGGTAGTTAAGACCGAAGGTCAGAGGTTCCCGAGCATGTAAGTATTCTAGAGATAGAATTGGGAAAAGTCCATCCTATCGGCATTTAGCGAGGTATTTATAGGATATTTGAAGGGGACACGTGTATATATCAAAACTAACAATGTTATATATCAAGAAAAAAGATAATAAAATTTTAAAGTATCTATGTACTAAGTAAAATTTTAATAAAAGAGTTAAATAGTTCTGTTGCCAACTTAATCTTAGATTCTAATTAACCACAAGAACAAAGTATTCTAAAGTTTATATATGCTTCAATTAATATATAGCATAGCGACGGGAGAAGTAGAGTGTAATAAGAGTATGGAGTATAGTTGGAGGACATAGATACCTGGAGAACCGCGGGGTGAGGATTATTTGTTGAACCGGCTTGGAGTATGTTGAGGGAATGGACATGATCTAGACGGATTTTCTCCGCCCTTTTCTTAATGCTCTCGATCTCCTTGGCAGCATCAATAACCTTGGTATAATAACATAATCTTTCCGCCCATCTCTTGAGGACCGGTCTGGTTCTGTGGTTCCTTCGCTCAACAAGGTATTTATCAATGGCATCTTCAGCATCGATTATTACTTTCTGAATCTTCTGCACCACGTTTCTGAGAACAGCGTTGCCATTACAGCTCTCGTTGTTCTTGGATGCTTCAGTGAGATATGCCTTGAAAGACCTCAGTTCGCTCAGCAGATCTTCCACCTCATCTTTGATCCCAAGAATCAGGCTCGCGTTTTCTTCCACACTTTCTGCTACTTTGCCTATCAGCAACTCCACAACTGTGTCCATTCTGAGCTACTATATATATATATGGGAGAATGAAATTAAAACAGCTTTCTTTCTTAATTTCTTCAGTCTTGGCTTTTCAACTCTGATCCTTTAATTTGATGCATGTCATCTATATATATACAACAACTAATTAACTAGCTAATAATAATGTTTGTTTCTTCCCATGTCTGACCGCCAATATAATTCAACTCTTTGATAATATATATTTAATTTCTTCCCATCCATGTCACAAACAAATTAAATGAAACAATTTAGTATAGCCAAATGATTGTGGATTGCTGCCGATGAATTAAATATATATAGTCAACGAATGAAGTTGGTTGAGAGATAACAAGATGACAAAACATGGTTGTTAGATATAAATTAAACAAGACAATAACCAATATATTCTTATGAAAATTGTGAAATTGTGTAAGAAGATTATATTGTCGTTCTTCTTCGACTACGTACCTCATAGATCAAATTCATGTAACATTACATCATACTACAACTTTTTGGATAATTTAATTAAAGTTGACTTTAGCTCAATTATTTGAGCAAGTCTTTGATAATACTTGCAGTATAGCCCATGTGACGTACAACTCACTATGTATTTAAAAGATCTAAGTTGCTCCAATTTGCCAATATTATTTTAAAAATTAAAATAAATAATTATTACTATTTTAATTATTAAGATAAAATTTCACTATTGAAATGGTGGAAAAATATTCATTTAGAGGATTTTTCAATTGTTTTTATATTTTAATTTGGAGTAATGAAATATTATTTAATAATTTAAAGAATTAATTATCTAATATTTTTATTAAAATAATATTTAATTTTTATAATTTTTGGTACTTTAAAATATATAATTTATGCCATAATGATATAAATAAAGGAATTAAGGCATATTTTGTATAAAACTAAAGCATTTATCACTCAAGAGGTTTAGATATGGGTAATAACATAAACATTAATGCACTTATTATTTACACAAACGATAATATCATTTTAAAACATCACGTTCTCTAAGACAACTAGTAAAGTAAATATTTCTTCACAAAGAGAGGTTCAAACGGTAACACCTACCTCCTATCCTATGTAGGGGTCGTCCATTGAACACTATTGTGTCATTTTCAAGTCCAGAGAAATCATTTTTCTTTCATGTGAGAGATTGTTGAAAAACATGGCTTAAAATGACATTTATGTGGCCATTTTGTGGTATAATTTTTAGTGGGTCCACTTTTGATTTGGGTCGGATTAAAGTGGATTCAAATTCTTCTAAGTGAAATCTGGAGGGCGTGATTGAGTGAAAGCGACTCATCCATTCTTAACCAAACGTCAAGAGTTCGATCATTGGCTTTGTGTATGGAATAACCTTAAATCTACAAGCCGATTGTCCCACCCGTATCCATTTGTGTTGAGAAAAATGGAGTTGAAAATGTTGGAAAAATAGCATTAAAATGGCATTTTAAGTGGCTATTTTGTGGTACAATTATCAACGGGATCCACTTCCGATTTGGGTCAGGTTAAAGTGGATTGGGGTTCTTCGTAGTGAGACGAAGAGATTGATATATTGTACACTCAAAACGGAGGCAAATTATGCCCTGGAAACGTGTTCACCATGAATGGTGAACACAGATCCAAACGGTGCCGTTTTTACGGGAAAAAAAAAAATTGCTAATGTGGTGTTAACGGCGCGCGTTTGGTCAGATTATGAATTTTCTGTTATGAGATTATGAATGTACTGTAAATTCATAATCTCATAACAGAAAATTCATAATCTCATAATAGAAAATTCATAATCTCATAAAAGAAAAATCATAATTTCATAACTGCACATTCATAAATTCATGCAATTATGAATGTACATGCATGGATTTATGAATGTGCAGTTATGAAATTATGAATTTTCTTTTTATGAGATTATGTTGAAGAAGCTTGCGCGAAGAGGAAGTGAAACCGCAAAATGTGAAAATGAAGAAGAAAAGTCGCGCGATTAATTAAGGAAAAAAAAAATAATGGTGCATTGTTACCGTTGGGACCGTGTTATGGTGAACACGGTTCCATGGCATAACTATCCCAAAACGGATAATGGGTGAATGAGATATTGATGATCTCAAAGTAGACCCATTTAAGTTGGAAAAATGAAGGGAAAAAAGAATGAGCTTTTGTCCCACATTAGTTTGAGAAGTGGATTTGCACCACTATTTTTACAAAAGTCTTTCTAAAGCTTATTGAATTGTATAGCATAGAGGCTATTTTTCACGAAAGTCGCGTCGTACCCTCTTTTAAGGAAAGAGTGTTTCGCTCGACTCGTACTAACTACTCTTCTTCTTTTTCTCCTCTTTCGGTTCATGGGATTATGCTTTTAAGCAATATATATATATATATATATATATATATATATATATATATATATATATATATATATATATATATATATATATATATATATATATATATATATATATATTTCAGAATATAAAATAATCGACTTGGTTCACTATTCTCCTACAGTCTTAAAACCTTATTTTTTGGATGAACAAGTAGATGGATTTTAAGAGTGCTGGAACCATGAATGTTGCTTGTGGTGCACATTCAAATGGTCGGAACGGCAATGATGTTGCACATTCCGAGATGTCGCGCCAGTTGATGGCAGCAACGTTGGAAATGATGTTTCCATTGGAATTGCAAGATCACATGATGGTGCTCCGGAGAATTTTAGTTCACGAACCGGTAGACCAGTGGCTGGTGGCACGCAATTGATACCTATTGTGGTACCTCTGATTTTACAAAATAATTACAATTTTTACAGAACCGTGAACATATGTTGCAATCAATACCTCCCCCACCAGAACTTCTCATATGAAAGAGCAATTTGGTGCCACTAAACCACAAGATTTGATAATTGTTTAGTAAGTGTATTTAAATAGTGAAATTCATATATAAATGGTTCTTCTTACTTTTTTTTTTTTAATAAATTTATTTTCTTCCCATCCATGTCACAAACAAATGAAACAATTTAGTATTGCCAAATGATTGTCGATTCCTGCCCATGAATTAAATATATATAGTCAGCAAATGAAGTTGGTTGAGAAATAACAAGATGACAAAACATGGTTGTTAGATATAAACAAGACATTAAACTCTATTGAAATTTTATATATTTAGTACATGGGTATTTTAGTACTTTTGAATTATTTTTTTAAGCTATATAGAGGGAGATACCTAATTACATCAAACGCTTCCATTGAGACTCGAACCATCACCTCCCACATAGAGGAACAACATGGTACCATTGGACTACAAAACCCTTGATTTTAATGTTTTTTCTCTAATTATAATCTTATTTAGTTTTGATATTTCATTTGTAAAATGTTAAAAAAAATATGATTTTAACAAGGTCATGTAATAAGGAGAAAAGGGACTATTGGTGCCGCAACTAAAAAATAAAAAATAAAAAAAAAATTAGTTAGGAATATTATCAAAACTCTATTTTGCAGACGAGATGAAATATCAAAACTAACAAATGTTATAGATGAATAAACATATATATAGTAGACTAGGTAGTTAATTATAATTTGATGTGACTATGTATGTGTATTACAACTCCATCAATCTTAGATTCTAACCGGCTTGCTAGTATGGTGAGCAATGGGCATAATCTAGACGGATTTTCTCCGCCCTTTTCTTAATGCTCTCCATCTCCTTGGCAGCACCATTAACCATGATATAATGACTCAGTTTTTTGGCCCATCTCTTGAGGACCGGTCTGGCTCTGTGCTTCCATCGCTCAGAAAGGTATTCATCAATGGCATCTTCAGCATCGTATACAACTTCCTCAATCTTCTGCACCACGTCGTCTCTCACCACAGCGTTGTTGCCATTACACCTCAGATATGCCTTGAACAACCTCAGTTCGCTCACCAGATCTAACACCTCATCCTTGATCCCAACAATCAGGCTCGGGTTTTCTTCCACCCTTCGTGCTACTTTGCTTATCAGAAACTCCATAACTGCGTCCATGCCTTCTCGGTCTTCTAATGGGAGAATCAAATAAACACAAATTAAAACACCTTTCTTTCTTTCAGTCTTGGCTTACCTTTGAATGCGTAAGCACAATTAACGATGAATTGCATGTAAATCAAATTAATCAACTAAACAATGTTCATCATTATGAATTTTATGAATTTTTGATTCATATAAAAGATAGAACTTACTTATCCTGTATACCTTAATCACCTCCCTGAGACTGACTACAAAACTTTAATGATTCCTAGAGTTTTTTTCAGATATTTATAGATGTGGTGAGAAACCTTTTTTAAGAGAAATGGAAACTTCCTTTTAGGAAAAGAAAACTTTTTAGGAATGTGAAATCTCATTTTAAGAATAGAAATCTATTTAGGGATATAAAACATTTTTAGAAACCCATAACTTTTTCCATTATACATCTTTAATGTTAGGAAATAATTATTTCTAACAACCTCCTTGGCTTTTCAACTCTTTTGATATCTACAAATCTACAATCTACATCTACAAATCTACAATCTACATCTACATACAAATCTAATAACAACCAATAATGTTAGGCCCTTAATTGAAATAAAAAAATGTTTGTATAATTGTTTTCTTAAAATGAATGGTTCATATAATAAAGGGTAAATAAGAAAAAATCATTAAACAAATTTACACATCATAATTTTATCAATTTATGAAAACTTTTAAAGAAATTTGTAAGTTAATTTTTGCTATATCATTATAACAATATCTATTCTAACATATATTTTGAATTATTTATTATCATCCGCTATTAACAGCAATTGTAGCTATAGTTATTGACAAATTTTCTAAACAATTTGCCTTAACAACGAATGGAAATTAAAAAAAAAAAAATCAAATGATTTCATTATTGTGGGTAAAAAGTATGTTGCTCATATATATATATATATATATATATATATATATATATATATATATATATATATATATATATATATATATATAGGGGTGTGCTTAGGTGAAAA